GTCTTAGGGTGTTCTACGGCCGACCGCACCACACGGATGTGGTGGTCGCCGCAGAAACGCCGTGAACTTGTGGCCGGTGAATTGTGTCCCATTGTCGGTGATGATGGTGTTTGGAACCCCAACTCAGAGATGATATCGATGAAGAACACCGCTTGCTTGGATTTGATTCGCAATCTGGACGAGCCTCGATCCACTTGGAGAACTTGTCAATAGCTACCAACAAGTGGGTGTAGCCCCGGGGCTTTTTGCAGAGGCTCAACCATGTCCAAATTTCACACACGGCGAACGCCACGTGATGGGGATGGTTTGGAGAGCTTGGGCCGGGAGGTGCGTTTGCCATGCATAGTACTAGCATCCCTCACAGGAGCGTACCAGCTTCGTGGTGTCGCAAGAACCGTCGTTGGCGAGAATCCTTGGCGAAGGCGCGCCTTCATGTAGTTGGAGGAGTGCCAAGCAAAGTGCGGTAAGTCGATGCGCCGTGAGCTGGTCGCGCGCTTCCCCACACGACGCCGTGGAAGGAAGCGACACCGCCTCGGAGGCGTGATCGGTCGAGCTCCGGGAGCTCTAGGGTGTTGGCGTGAGGGATGTTGAGGCCGCGCCTCCGGCCCATCGATACCTTTTGGTGAGCCGGTGTTGCCGGATGATCGGTCGACGACAAGCGGGTACTACCCGGGGTTTGGGACATAATCGGGTGGTCTTCCCGATCAAGGTGATTGCCTCCCGAGACCGGGGCCGAGGTAATCGGGAGTGGCTATCTCAACCGAGAAGACCTCCCATGCGTTCCTCTTCCGCCGACGACGCTGGCCGTGAGAGGCACGCCAAGGCCCGGCCAAGATCATGAAGGCATTGTGCACCTCGGGAACCCGTTGTCCTTGTCGTTGTCTCCGCCGCCGCCGCTTCTTCTTCTTGGCATCGCTGCTGGGGAGCCCGAGCTTGGCGAGTAACGCCGAGCATGGTGCACTCTTCGAGGGTATGCTTCACCGGCCCCGTGGTAAGGGCATGGCTTCTTAAGCATGTCGTCGAAGAGCCCGGGGCACTGGGCGGGCCCTCGAGATTCTTGCGATCCGCGGTCGCGATGAGATCGGCCTCGAGGGCCTCTTGCTTCCCCTGGCGCCTTTTCCTTTTTTCTGAGAAACGGGAGGCCGAGGCCTTGGGGGCCCTCGTCCCTCCGCTTCCCTTGGCATCGTTGTTTGGGAAGATGGCCTCGACAAATTCTTCGCCCCGAGGCGGTTGGTGGCGATGTCGAGCGCGCGCCGCCGAGGTCGGTGCGTTCCGCCTAACTCTCGACCAGTGTCTCGGCAGAGGTGCCGTAGAGGAATGCTTGGACACTTTCCGAAGTCGCCGACGCTGGGCAACTTGGTGCATTGCTTGGAGAAGCGCTTGATGAAGTCTTGGAGAGACTTGTCCGGCCTTCTCGGCGACAACTCTTGAGGTCCCAGAGTTCTCGGGCGCACGATGTGCCACTGAAATTCCCGACGAAGACCTTTACCAAGTCGCGCCATTGTGGATCTCGCAAAGGAGGGAGGTGTTCGAGCTGTGCTCGCACCGAGTCCGACAGAACAAGGGAGGTTGCGGATGATGAGTAGGTCATCGTCACGCCGCCTAGCCGACAAGCCCGGCGCAGAATCGCCACCACACAACTGGGTTGGTCTCGCCGCTATACTTTTGCGAGGTTGGCGGCTGTTAAAACCGGCAGGGAAGTGAGCGCCATGGATGGCCTTGTTGAAGACTCGAGGGCCAGCGGCCCAGAGAAGGACTCGCGGTCCTCCCTCATTGTCAGAAGCGACCGCCTCGGTGCGGGTGGTAACCTCAAGCGGCCCATTGTTGTCGTGGGCGCCGTCGCCGCTAACCACATCGTGGTCGCTTTGCACCTCGCTGCGTCGGTCATTTGAGGCGGTCGTGGCACCGAGGGGCCCCGAGGCGGTCGTGTACCGAGGGGGCCTTGAGGCGGTCGTGGCATCGAGGGCTCTCTATCTTGTCGAGGCGGCGCCGAGGGCCGCTTCGAGGTGTCCCCGCGCCCGCCGAGACGCTGAGCTTTCCGCTTTCTTCATCACTGCGGGTCTCGAGAAGGTCTCGAGTTCGCCAGGACCGGTCGCCCCTCCGAGGTAGAAGGCTCGCATCGTTCGGAGTAGCATCGCCACCGCCGCAATGTTCGCTAGCGCGATTGAAGATAGGGAGTTGCTCGCCCCCTTCATCGTTGATGCGGTGGTAGACGTCGCGAGCCCTCCGCCGGCCGCTCCGCCATCACCGCGACCTCACGCTTCTCGCCGAGAGTGTCTCTTGAGTCGCTTCTGAAGAGTCGGTCTTGTTCGACCTTGGCACAAGCTCACGGAGCTGCTCCAAGTCAAGGCCTTGAAGTTCCTCGTGGGCGGGTTTCTCGTTCCATGCTGCGCCGGGTTCGACGCTACGGAGGTGTGGCGTCGCCGCCGCCCATCGCGGACGGGGAGCGATCGCCGCCTTCGTCTTCATCGCCCGCTCTCGGATCTCGAAGCTCGACGACGGCACTCACGAGTGGGGTCGTAAGTGCCTTCGCCATCGAGTCGGAGTAGCCGGGCAAAGCGAGTCGCCGCGCCCATGAAGTGGCGATGGCTTCGTGGTCGCGGGCCCGGAGAAGTCTCGCTCCGCCCACGCCTCGCCCTCCTCCTCCGAGGAGTCGCTGGGTGTGGGGGTGAGGTTGTGGCGAAGAGGTCGAGGGCGGCGTTGGTGGCGCCTCGAGGGCTCCGCGTGAGCGAAGCGTAGGCGGCGGCGGCATTGCTCAACCCGGCGGGCACGGGATGGTGCCATCGCCGTTTCCGCCTCCGTCGAGTCGATTCCTCGTGAGGTGGCGGGCGTAGCTTGATGACGGGCGTTATACGCGCCACCGCCGTCTTCCTTGCCTTAGGCCTAAAAGCCGGACAGTCCCCAACCAGGGACTCTGTACTTCAACAACCGGTGTGTACCAACAAATGGGTGTGGGATAATCGGGCGGAGCGCGCGCGTCGCCCTAAGCTCGCAGGGTGTCGGTGGTCTCGCCTGCGCAGTACTCGGGCGAAGCGTGACGCGAAGCGGCAATGGCGCGCCGCTCATGAGGCTGGTCATTGTACGTGATGTCGCCGTCGGTCGGTGGGGATCTGGATGGGAGGAGTACTAGGTCGTACTCGTATCCTAGAGACATAAACTCTAGGCTCCCGAACCAGATCACCGTGCCGAGACGCAGTGGTCGTACGGGGTCTGCCATCCGGGACTTGTTGGGACGATTAAGCTAACACGCAGTATGCCCCCTACCTGGCGCGCCAACTGTCGGTGTTTTGGACCGGCGGGTCCTCAACCAACGAGTGAAAATGTACTGCGTGTCCCTATCCCGGATGGTGATGCAAAGAGACACAAGGTTTATACTGGTTCAGGCAATATGTGCCCTACGTCCAGTCTGGAAGAGCAATCATGTATTCCTTGCACCGAGGTGCTCGTAGTAGTGGTTTACAAGCAGGACGAGAGAGGGAGTTAGTCCCAGGTCTCTGCATAGAGCGGCGTGGGTTGCTTGAGATGTTGATCTCTTGCAGTGAGGGAGCGTGCGTATTACAGAGTGTTGCTCGTTGCTTGCGTGTGTGTCTATCTGAGCGATGTCTCCGTGAGTGTGTTGAGTGTGTGCTCCTCCTCCAGGGGCGGCCCTGGTTACTCCCTTTTATAGTCGAAGGGAGGTACAGGGGCGGTACATGTGTTTGCTACGTGTGTGTCCGAGCCCTGTAGCTTGTCATTGTGGCGGTATGGTCGGTGGAGCGGTCTTGTCCTCGGTGCACTGGAGTGACGCGACGGTCACGCCCGTTCCCGTGGTGGCAGGAGCGCCTTCTTCTGTCGGAGGCGAGCTGGTTACTGTATGTTTGACTGGTGCGGAGTGCCGAGGCCGGGTTGATGCGATGGTGCGGGCGCGCTGATTCCGAGGCTAAAATAGCTAGGCCTTGTGCGCGACGTGGGGGCTCTCAATGCACTGACGCAGGTATGGCGCGCTTCTGCGACGACGTCTTGCCGCGAGTGTTGACAACGTAGAGAACCGAGGCCCGGTCCGATGCGAGAGGTCGAACCATCGTGGGGGGCTCGGCAGGCACAAGTCCCGAGGCTACAGGAGCCCGGAAGCGGATAGCCGAGGCTCGGAGGGAGCAGTTGGTCTTGTTCGTTGATTCTGAGGCTACAGGGACCTATACTTGACTCTCCACGCCGCTACCGCCCTTGGAGCAGGGGGTTAGGTAGCACAAAGGCCGCAAGGGTGTCGATCGTGGGCACAAAGTGCGAGCACAATGACCAAGAACCCCCCGCCCGCCCTGTCCGGATGGCGGTATACCGAGCGACTTCCGTCTCGTCGGTTACTCATTGATCTTTGTGCCGTCGTCCGACGCGCGTGGAGTGGTTGAGTGCTTCAGCTTGGATGTGACGCCTCGTCGTGAGGTCGGTGAAAGTCATGCGGGGGCGATGCCGAGCCAGCCTCGAGCGAGACGGAGAATCGGTACCTCGTCCGAGGCCTTTCGGGCGGGGCCTCGAGCGAGGTGGAGAGTTGGTACCTCGTTCGAGGCCTTGCGGTGTGGGCCTCGGGCAAATCGGAGAATCGGCCGAGGCCTTGCGGCGTGGGCCTCGGGCGAATCGACCGAGGCCTCGTGGTTGTCTCTTGGCTTTGATATTTATAAGGTCTAAGCAATTTTTTCGGTTCTTGCTTAGGGTACCTCTTTTTATGGTATCCGACAAATTGGCTTTGCAATATTTATCTGAAATATGACAATTACCTTCTTCTTCATCATTAAAGCCAATCAACCAATCTTTCGCACAGACTAACGCTTCAAGAGTTTCCGGAGAGAGAGATGTCCTATTTTTACCAAGTATCCTTCCAGCAGCACTAAAAGCAGATTCTGAGGACATTGTGCTAACAGGAATAGACAAGAAGTCTCTGGCCATCAAAGACAAGATAGGATAGGCATCCGAGTTTTTCTTCCACCATGCTAGAACATTAAAGTTCTCTATCGGTCTCACAACTACTATAGGATCATCCAAATAAATATCCAGTTTTGATCTTTCTGAGCGAGTACTCGAGTTTTGTGATGAAAATTGAACAAATGCAAGCTCTACACGCCGTTTGCCACGAAGTCCAGAAGAACTCGATTCGCCCTGACTTAAAACTTCCTCATCATATGTAACGAAGACAGGACCTGTGTTGTTCCTCACAACCCTCTCGTACTCTAGATAATATTTCTTCAAGTATTGTCTAGGCTCTCTCATCTTCGCTTCCGCTTCTGCATTCTCAACAGTCAAGTAAAAGAACCTGACAAAATCAGCTTTCATTGATGGGTCTAGGACAGCAGCTATGAGAAGTACCATACTAGGCGCAGCCCAGTATTTGTGAAACTTGGTATACATAGCTTCAGCCAACTCATTGAGCAGTTCATTAGTATTCCACGTCTCATCAAGCAATACATCTCGAACTGCCATCAACATCTTCAGAAAGAGATGGGCCGTTGGATGCCTATCCGCAGAAAATGCTTTTGTAGCCTCACTAAACTGTTCTAGGAATTCGTGAAGCGATTCAGCTTTCTGCGAGTCTTGTTCACTAGGAACATCCTGATACTGCTCTGCTGCGAATCTGTTGAGAGCTGCTTTATATTTCAGAGCTTCATTCAACATGTCATACGTAGCATTCCAGCGGTGGGGAACATCTAGAACCAGCCCCGACTTGCCTTTGAGACCTAATGCCTGAACGATTGAGTTGAATGTTTGTAGACGAGAAGGTGTAGATGTGACAACCTTGATAATGTCTCTTACCCTTCCAACTGGATTTGGTATGACTTGCAATCCAGCTTGGAGCATTATATTGAGCACGTGAGCGGCACATCTGACATGTATGTGTTCACCCTTAAAGAACATCTGAGCACCTAGAGCAGCACACAAGTCTCTAATCGCTCTGTTGTTCACACTTGCATTATCTAGAGTCACTGTGAACACACGATCAACTAAATCCCACTCCGTCAAGCAAGCCGTGATGCCATCTTGCACAACAAATGAGTTATGGGGGAAAGAGATCTGCTTGAATGCAATAATCTTCTTATGGAGCTCAAACTCTTCATCAATGTAATGAGTTGTAACTCCAAGATACCCCAAATTTTGGTTTGACGACCACAGATCAGCAGTTAAACTGACATGAGACTTCAACTTTGTGATCTTTTGATGTAGCTGTAATTTCTCTTCTTCATACAAGATCAGACAGTCTGCACGAACAGTTTGTCGACCCACCACATTGAATGAAGGCTGGCAATAATTTATCATCTCTTTCCAAGCAGGATCATCTGCTTTTCGAAATGCAACCTCAGCACTAAGGAAGTACTTTGCAATCAGACCTCTGAATACAACAGGATCAAATACAAAATTATCTCTATCAGACTTGTTCTTCAAAGTTGCTAAGAATCTGTCCCTGTCCTCTTGAGGGATATGATGACAATAATATCCAATATGCCTATTCAAGTGAGTTGTCCCTTTCCTTGACACATAAGACAACTGGAGCTTGCAATACTTGCACACAGCCTTCTCAATTCCATCAACGATTTCCGAGTCAACATAAGCCCAAACTTTTGGCCCTCTTTTTCCCTGACTGGCCTGACTGATCAGTGGAGATAGCATCAAGACTATCCTCAACTTCTGCTGCTGTTGCTGATGAAACCCTCTCCATAATACCAGACACTCAGACTAACCAACTCAGGTTACCAGCAGTAGTTTGTCATAAACTACAGAAACATAGGTCAGCTATGGAGGGAACTACAACGCAGCATACTAGAGTAAAATCTACCAGAATAGCTAACAAAGGGAACACACAAAAGGCAGGAACAAAAGAATAGCTAACATATGTAGAAGAATAGCTAAAGTAAAATCAAAACATTTCTGAATATAGGTACATTTTACTATTACAGTTCACAATCAAAGCATTGCTGACTACTGAAGCAATTAAATAATGATGGCAACTTTAGAATGCTGATGGTAAATAATAGGATAGGAAACAACGATATCAGCTAGTAGTTGAAAACAACTCATTCAGAGCCACACGGTGATTCAACTATATCTAAGACCTCATCAGTAAGAAAATGCCAGCTAGATACAACTACTCTAGTACTCTCAACTCTACATATTCCAGATGAGTAAACAACTCCGTAGAAGTAGTTGAAAACAACGGGATTTTGATTTCCACATTTTCCAATATAGTGAAATCTAGCTACCATTGCAACTGTATCATTCAGTGTACAAATTCATATCCGTTTTAACTGAGTTTGTTCTATTATGCTAAAACATGTAATTAGATAGCAGTCAGGTAATGGATGCAAGCAGAAAGTAAATTAAGAACAGAGCAGATATCGACCATGAACATGCATTAGCACATGAAAGGTGAGATTAGCAGGGGCTTACCACATATAAAACAGCAAAAAGAGAGACGGTGACAAGAATCAGGGGGCCCAAATGCCAGAAAGAAGGTACTGCCAAGTGATAGTAGTAACTTTGCCAAAGGAACAAGACCATGTGAAAAGAAATAAATAATTGTAAGGGAAAGGCAAGTCACTGATTATTTTATTATCATATTGTTACTGATCTGATAACCGGTACTAGATAAAAATTCTTCAGTAAATAATGATAAGGTGAAAATAGAACGCCTGTTGATTATCTGATTATCATATAGTATTGCTGAAGTGATAGTTGAGGCTGGTGAATATTCTTCTGAACACAACTATTTTTAACTAATAAACATGTACATGAGCATGGGTTCAACGATATATACCTTCAACTTGCAGCCATACATCAAGCCACGAAAATCGCTCCCAAAATAGCCAGGCAACCTAGGGGAACCGACCTGGATCCCATCCTGCAGCCGCAAAAGAACCATATCACGTGAACCATATCATGACCAAAATCACGCAGCGCAGAGGGACAATTCCTGGAGAAAAGATCAAGAAACCCACCTTGAATACTTGATCGGGGGATGCGTCGAGGAGAAGTCGCTGCCGCCGCCAACGATCTTGGAGCGCCGAGGATCTTGGAGCGTCGGGGATGCGCCGCTGTTCGCGATGCGTCGGGGATGTGCCGGCGTGGATTTTGAAACGAGTGCCCCCGCCGCCGCGCCGATGCCGGTGCCTCCACAGCTCACGCCCACCCAGCCGGCCGCCCTAGCGCTCTATTGCGAGTTTGCAACCGGAGTCTGCTATCGATAGAATAGGAAGGCCCTCCATTAGGATCCGCGGGCGATCCATTCTCACGATCCGCACATGACGCTCTACAATCCGATCCGTGCAGGCCTTTTAAAGGATAATCCAATCCGATTCAGCCCATTCTTAAAAGAACCCGTATACAATCCATATATATGAGCCCACGAGTTGGGGGGCCCTTCTGACCCTTGGGCTTAGCCAATCCATTTTCAGGATGAATTGTAGTGTGTACATGATGCTTACATATATTTGCTGTTTTCTTGAAACAGTGCCTTGTGTTTTTGAAGGTTCAATGTTGCCAACTCGCTGGTTCGTGTTCAAAGTTAAATGAGTATGTGTTGTTTTATTTGGTACATTCCAACTGAGTTTGGACTTGGAGACATGTTTTGTCATGTAACTCATGACTGCATATATCTCTGCCTGCAGAATATTAAACAGCATGAATTGTTACACCCATATACATATACAAATGTATGCTCGATCACTCCTTTACTCTTCTATAAGCAAGCGGCTGATTATCTTAGTTGTCCTTAAGGTCCAACTTAGAGGCCATGGATAAAATCTAACATAAATCGACAATTACAAGCCTATCATTCTATTTGTAGGACTCACGCTGTGTCTGTTAGCTACAAGCAACTATTAGGCTTACCAAAACAGTTTAAATTAACAAATTCTTAGCTGTTGATGTTCTTTCATTAGACTTATTTAAGGAAGAAACCTTGAATGTGAAAATGGCGATGAGCATCAAATTGCACTGTGTAACGTAAAATAACTAATATATGTGCTCACTGGGGATCAATATACTTCAACCATATACCCTTTATGAATCTATACCAGGACCATAAATCATGCTGCAAGAATCTCATTACGAATATCATTCTTATGTTCTTATCTATCCCCTTTATCTTTTGCTAATATTCAAATTTATGCTAATAGAAACTTGACAACATTATTATCAGTAGCAAGGCTGTAGCTAACTTGATTCATTTCCTTTGTTGTATGGATCTGCTTGATCACTGCAGTAGTTCTGTATGTTATTTCTGAAATGTGAATAATAGTGTGTTACTATTGTTTCAATTTCTGTGTAAAGTTTTCTTTATGAACCTTGATCTGAGTAATGCACATTTCTTTTGATTTTTTTGCAATATCTTGTCTTGCTCATGACAATCAGTTAGTCTCGTTTATGAGCATACATTGGTTTCTCCCAAATCCGTCCAAGAAAAATAGGTAGCCATTCCATTGCTAAATTTGACTGAAATCTTCTTGCAGAGACTCGATACAAGATCTTACCAGCTTATGAAGGTGACAAACAGCAGCTTCAATGGTTTTATAATGCATGTTGTGGCATGGCACAGGTAACTGCCCAGAATTTTTTTCTTGCTCGTTTTTTTTATTTGTGGTACATCCTTAAGATCTGGACAATTCTTTCTTCTATTTTCTTAAATAAATTCGGTTAAATGGAGGCATGTCCTTGAACAATATTTGCTCGAGTTTTTTTTTAATAAGGATATTTGCTCGAGGTTGAGGTTGTTTCAATGAATAAGAAGTTACTGGATTTTTATACAGAAAACAGTAACAATAATAATATATCCCTTCTTTTTAGGTTTTCAACACGGCTCCAGTACCACCAGCAAATCTCCCAATGCCAAATCCAGCACCAGCAATTTCATCTGTGGTGCCTTCAGAACTATCTGCACCCAGCAAGGAGGATGTTGAATTAGCAATGGCTATCAATGCCTCCATTCAATCAGCTATTGCAGAGGGAGTGCCCAATGTTCAACCAAATGTGTCCACTCCCAACAACAATGGCTGGGGTATCCCTCCAAGTAATTCTCACAACGGATGGGGACCACCAGTCACTCCTGCACCGTCAAAGACGAGTGGCCAATCCCAAGCCCGGGTAGATGCCCCAAGCAGCAGCACGTACAATGGATGGGATGTGCCTGGAACAAGCTCTAGTCAAAGTTCATCGAAACCCCACAAAACCGAAACCAACCCTCCAGTCTTGATTCCAGAGGAAGCACTCCAGGCTCTTCCAACCCCAACTGCGCCACCATTCGCTGAAGAAACCTTCTACAGTGGTCCTGTTCACTATCCATCCATAGACTCTACGCCTGTTGATGTAACCATGCCGGCTGCCACCGAAGGCGGTACAACAGTCAGTACAACGGCAGCACCTACGAAACAGGAAGAAAGTGAAGCTGATGCAAGCGACAGCGGCAAAACTCCTGCAGGTACTTGTGTTATATGTTTGGATGCTCCTGTGGAAGGCGCCTGCATCCCATGCGGTCACATGGCTGGTTGCATGTCCTGCTTGAAGGACATAGAGTCGAAGAAGTGGGGATGCCCTATCTGCCGTGCCACGATTAACCAGGTTGTTCGCCTCTATGCTGTTTGAGGAGTTGAAACGGTGGGTCCGGAAAGTTGGCAATGGATGGTTCTCGCAACAAATTTTGATGGGAACGTCTCCATCTAAAAATTGTGCAAGTATGCTATTGTGCGCTTCGTACTGCACTGCAAAATATGACTTCCGTGTAATGTATGTGGGCAGGCGCCTTGTGTACATAGGTGACAGTTCTATATAAAAAAAAGGTACTGTTGCAAGTTTCAACTCACGTTTACAGTTGCTGGAACTTTCGATCCAATAACCAAGATAGTGGCATCGCCGGATGCTCGTCTCATCAGTTAAAGCTTGTTGCAATGAATTAAGCCGGAGTTGCAAGTTTTACAAGTCTGTAATAAGCTTCGATGAACCTTCCTTTTGGCTACTTTCTGAACTGCGTTGTGTTAGAGGGGTGTGCCTTGGGCACTTTTAAAAATTGTGATTGTAAGCTGGTTCCCCAGCAAACTCTATGCTTTCTATAAAGAGGGACCAATTGGTCTTTGGTCTAAAAAATTTCCGCGCGCCTCTCTCTCTCTCTCTCTCTCTCTCTCTCCTCCGGCGAGCTTGTCCCTGGCAGCCGCGCCCGTTCCACCCTCTTCTTTCTCAACTCCGGTGAGCTTAGAAGAGAAGGGGTTTGGGGGGGAGGAAGGCTAGCCAGGCGGTGGGGACGGCGGCAAGGTGGTTTAGGGGGCCCTGGCTGCGGTGGAGATAGCGGTAGGGCAACTTAGGGGCCCTAGCGGCTATAGAGGCAGCCGGGCCAGGTCACGACAGGGGAGCTCCATGGCCGAAAGTCCGAAACTCACCGCGAAAGGAGGGGGAGGGGAAGAAGGCGAGCACGCTAGGGTTTCGCCGGAGCTCAGCGAAACCCTAGCGTGCCGTGGCAAGGCGCTGGGTAGTGGCAGGGGCAAGGAGGATGAGGGCGCCGGTGAGGAGGACGAGGAGGAGGGCGCGATCACCAGCAAGGCAGGTGACGAGGGTGCCGATGAGGACAAGGACGACGAGGAGGAGGGGGAGGTGACTGCCGATATACACCTAATAAAATTACACTA